TCAATCGAAAAGGTTCCTGGTTGGCAGACGGTCCGTAGCTTTTTTTTTTTGGGGAGGGAGGGGGGACCTACTTGGCAAAAGTACATGTACACCGTCGCAGGCACAACACGGTAATCCCAGGCGTCTTTCCAGTCACTGCCGTAGTAGGGTGCTCGACGACGGACATCGTTGATCATGCCACGGAAGAGACGGACCTGCCACCACTTGCCAGGGCCGTTGTTGGGAGGTGATGTTGTGGTGGGGGTCTCGAACACAGTCTCGGCAGAACGAGGCTCAGTATCGACAGGACGAGGAACGTCGGGAGCCGGGTCAGCGGCACCCATCTTGGTGTCGTCCGTGCTGGCAGAGACCATGGCCACGGTTGTGGACCGAGCAGAGGCTTGCAGCGGAGGCCTGCTGTGGTTGATGCTTGGGTAAAGGAAGGGGAAAGAATGGGTGGTGACGATGGCGGCAAGGCCTTGAGTAGGTCGCTACCCTAAGGTCAGGTAAGGTAAGGTACCTAAGGTAAGGTAAGGTAAGGTACCTAAGGCAAGGTAAGGCAAGGTACCTAAGGTAGGTAGGCAGGCACCTAAGGAAGGTAACAGGCAGGCCAAAGTGGGTCAATACCCGGGAGCAGGAGGAAATAGTGAATCTGTACAGAGGCTGCGGTGCTGTGAAGAGGCCTGAGAGAAACAAGCGAGGCTGCTGACAGAGGACCGGGCCACCTAGGGTACCGACCCAGGTAGGTAGATAGGTAGGTAAGGTAGGTACGTAGGACTGTCGATGGCTTCGATTGTTTGCGCACACCACTTTGCAGTCCAGTAAACCCAGCCGGGAGAAGCTACGGCTACGGAACAAGCCCATATATACGCCCCGGTCGCGCCTCCGGAGAAGGCCATGACGGGACCTTACCAGCCCTGGTATCGACGGGGAAGCACATCGAGTAATGGTCGACCAGGGGCCCGCAAGGCCCGTCATCGTTCTGGGGAGGGGAGGAGGCTCTCCCATCAGACGCGATTCGAGCGCTAGCCGGCAGACTGCTGATCGCTGCCACCGGCACCCTCGACACCCACCCACCACGCTTCTGCCTCTAGTCTCGGTCGGTGGTGTGTGTGGAACAAAGCTGGAAGAGGAAGCCCACCAAGACCCCCAAACGTTCAACCGACGACACGGGCGCCACGTTCTTGGCCCCTTGGGGCCCCTCGAGGCCCCTCGAGCGCCGACATTCCAATTCAGACCTCACAAGCCTATTCTTTCAGCATGACAG